ATTCCGTAATAGCGAGCCAATGCAGAAAACGGAATCAACGATAGCCAATAGCAGGAAGCCAGCTAATACTACTACTACGATCAGCACGAGTTCTGTGCCTACCTGGGTCAGCTCTTGTTCAATCGCCATTTCACACTCAACATCGACCGTGGTCTCAAAGCCCGACTCCAGTGCCGGTCGACTCATGACGGGCTGCTGAACCTCTGTCTTGTGGGAGGGTACCATAGGAACAACCTGAAGTGTTTGCTGATGCGTCACCTCGGTCATCGTGCCTGAAACGACCTGAGGATGCGCAGGAACGGGGGTGTGCATGACAGTGGTGAAGGTTTCCTTGGGTACCATGGGAATAACGTCCATCGGTCGGTCGTGTTCCTCGTCAGAAACGTAGCCGGCTTCAAGGACTGGTTGACTGTATACTGGGTGCTCCAATTCGGCCTTATAAAGGGGAACCATAGGTGTCACTTGTAGGGCCGTTTGGTAGACTGTCTCAGTAACCTCCCCATAGACCACGTCGGGACGTGCGACGATTGGGGTATCCATTACTGTCTGGAACTTCTCCTGAGGTACCATGGGAACTACATCCATCGGCCGGTCGTGTTCCTCTTCCGAGGAGTAACCCGCTTCAAGAACTGGTGTGCTAACCATCGGGTGTTCCGTTTCAGTCTTGTAGACAGGCACCATGGGAGTGACATTGATTGACTTCTCATACACAGTCTCGGAGAGTTGGACAGGAACGCATTCCGGACGACCTAGCACAGGAGTATCCAGTGTAGTCCTAAATTTATCCTGTTGAACCAATGGTACCACCTGAATTGGAATGTCGAGCTCTTCTTCAGATGAATACCCAGCTTCCAAAACTGGCTTGCTTGCCACAGGGTAATCTTTTTCTGTCTTGTAAACCGGGACTACTGGGGTAACATCGATGGGTCTTTCGTGTGTGGTCTCTGAAACTTTGACCGAGGTAAGTTCTGGACGTACAGCAACAGTAGTTTCCATGGTACTCTTG